AAGAGTGAGAGAGAGAGAGAGAATTTTTTAATATTTATTTTTTAGTTTTTGGCGGACACAATGTCTTTGTTTGTATGTGGTGCTGAGGATCGAACTCAGGCCGCACGCATGCCAGGCGAGAGCACTACCACTTGAGCCACATCCCCAGCCCCCATTTTCTACTTTTCTTCTTCAGGTCACTTTGCAAAAGATTGCTTCATGCAACCAGGTGGGACCAAATATTCTCTGATACCTGATGAAGAAGAAGAGAAAGAAGAGACAAAGTCAGCAGAATTTGAGAAACCTGATTCCATGAGGAATTCTTCCCGGAAAAGAAAAAAGGTGAGTGCTTTCTTGCTTGTATTTATCATACTTTTTCAAGTTTTAAAATGAAGTTGTACTTTTTGCAGAAATTTTAGAAATACTGAAAAATAAAGAAAATCGAGGATCTCCAGTAATCTTTCTACTCAGAAAGACATTTTTTAGTATTTTTAGTGTTTTCTAATCTTTTTTAGGTCATAATAAATATATACATACATATATGTATGTACATATGTGCATTTATACATGGAAACAGAATTATGGTCAAACTAGGTATAGTTTATACTCTAATTTTTCATCTTATTGTCTAGTATTTATTTATTTATTTATTTGTTTGTTTATTTATTTTTAGTTGTTGTTGGACACATGCCATTATTTAATTTATTTTTATGTGGTGCTAAGGATCGAACCCAGTGCCTTGCACATGATAGGCAAGCGCTCTACCACTGAGTCACAACCCCAGCCCTTACTTTCTAGTTTTAATTGTTCTTCAAAAATTTGATGTAAGAGCAACACAGTATTCTACCTCATGGCTATATGATTATTAATTTGCTTTGTGATTACTGAATATTTTTTATTACTTACAACCTAAATTTGTGGCTACATCTCATACTATTTTCTAAGCATAGATTCTGAAGTAAGATTACTGAGTTAAGACTTTATACATTTTATAAAATTGCCTTCTAGAAAGTACCTATCTGTCCCCAGAAGTGTAAAACATTATCTGTCTTCACCAAGTTCTGTCTCTTTTTCTACTACTTAAAGCAGAGACCAATTTATAAAACAGACTGTATTGTAGTTCAGAAAGAAACCATGCATCAATAGCATACCTCACAGAAAGGAAACAAATTCTGCTATAGTTTGATCAGAAAATGGTATACTATGATTTTCCTTTCAGTACTGGGAATTGAACCCAGGGGCACTTTACAATTAAGCTACATCCCCAATCCTTTTTTTTCCCCTGTGGTACCAGAGATTGAACCTAGGGGTGTTTAACTACTGAGCCACATCCCTAACAATTTTTATTTTTTATTTTGAGACAGGGTCTTGCTAAGTTGCTTAAGGCCTCAACCTCCTGAGCCACTGGAATTACAGGCTTGCACCACTGCACCCAGCCATCCCCAATCTTTTTATGGTTTATTTTTAAAATAAAATCTTTTTATTTTATTTTAAGTTGCTGAGGCTGGCCCAGAACTTTGGATCATCCTGCCTCAGCCTCATGGGTCACTGCAGTTATAAGCATGTGCCACCACATGGTGGCTCACAGTGCTCATGTAGGATTTTTCTGTGACCAATTATTTTGTTTCTAGAGCTTTGGCACTTTTATTGAATGATAATTTTGTGCCAGGCTTTGCGGACTCTAGTAATACAACGAGTATGGTGAAATCCTTGCACTCTGTGGGCATTATCTACAAATTAAGTATTATCTTTATTTTTGAGGGGGTGGGGTACTAGGGATTGAACTCAGGGGCACTCCAACACTGAGCCACATCCCCAGCCCTATTTTGTATTTTATTTAGAGATAGGGTCTCACTGAGTTGCTTAGCACCTCACTGTTGGCTGAGGCTGGCTTTGAATTTGTGATCCTCCTGCCTCAGCCTCCCAAGCCGCTGGGATTATAGTCGGGTGCCACCATGCCCTGGTATACTATCTTCATTTCTTATTGTTTTTTTTTTTTGTTTGTTTGTTTGGTTTTTGGTTTTGGGTACCAGGTATTGAACTCGGGGGCACTCAACCACTGAGCCACATCCCCAGCCCTATTTTGTATTTTATTTAGAGACAGAGTTTCACTGATTTGCTTAGTGTCTTGTTTTTGCTGAGGCTGGCTTTGAACTCAGATCCTCCTGCCTTAGCCTCCTGACCCACTGGGATTACAGGCGTGCGTGTCCCACCTCACTCAGCACTAATAAGTATTTTCTTTCTTTTTTTTTTTTTTTAAAGAGAAAGTGAGAGAGAGAGAGAATTCTTTTTTAATATTTATTTTTTAGTTTTTGGCGGACACAACATCTTTGTTTGTATGTGGTGCTGAGGATCGAACCCAGGCCGCACACATGCCAGGCAAGCGCGCTACTACTGGAGCCACATCCCCAGCCCAGTATTTTCTAATTAATGCTATCATGACTACCTTAATCTCTTCTTTACCTCCTCCCCACTGCCCCCATCAAAACCTTTTCTATCCTTCAATATGATATTACTTGTTTTAATGGCAGCAATACCTTCCCAGTTTCCCAAGAAAGAAACCTCCTCTTCTCATTTTGAGAGGCACATTTTAAATTGCCTCTCAAAATTCTGTTTCTCCCTCCTACTTCCACTACTACTATATATTTTATCTCCTTACATGTCTTGCATTCAGACTACGCAAAAATTTACCATCTTAACTTTTTTTTTTTGGTAGTCCTAGGAATCAAAACCAGGGCCTCACACATGCTGGGTGAATACTTACCACTGAGCTATACTCCCAGCCCCCATCTTAACTATTTTTAAATACACAATTTAGTACTGTAAAATATATTCACATGATAGCATTCCTTGCACAATAATTATAATTTGATGAAGTGCAAGTGACCTGTTTTTTCTTTCATTGCCTTTGTTTTTGGTGTCATACTCAAAAAACCATTGCCGGGTCATGTCATGAAACATTTCCCCTATTTTTCTTCAAAGAGTTATATATTTAGGATTTTGATTTATTCTGAGTTAATTTTCATATTGATTTAAAAGAAGAGTACAAAAAATGATTTTTTCTTTTGGTATTGAGGATTGATTCTAGGGATGCTTTACCACTGATCCACATACCCAGTCCTTTAAATTATTTTGACACAGGGTTTTGCTAAGTTGCTAAGGGTCTTGCTAAATTGTGAGTCTAACCTGGAACATACAATCCTCCTGCCTTGGCCTCCTGAGTTGCTATTTGCATATGCCACTGTGCCCAACTGGTCCAAAAGTTTTTTTGCATGTAGATATCCAGTTTTCTTAAGACCATCTATTAAAAAGACTACCCTTTTCCCATTGAATGATCTTGGCCCCCTCATCAAAAATCATTTGACCATATACATGAGGATTTTTCTGGGGTCTTATTTCTATTCTGTAAGTCTCTGTGCCTATTCTTATGCCAGTACCCAATGTTTTGATTACTTTAGCTTTATATAGAGTAAGGAAATGTGAATATTCCAACTTTGTTCTTCATTTTCAAGATCATTTTGACTATACAGGGTTTTTTGTGATCTGTATGAATTTTTTCTATTTCACACGCACATACACACAAAAATCATTTGAGATTTTGATAGGGGTTGCAGTGTGTGAAGTGTCAAACAGCTAGTGATCTGTAGATCACTTTGGGTAGGAGGAATATATGGACATCCCTTCCCCCCTCCTCCATACTGAGTATTGAACCCAGGGCCTTGTGCATGCTTGGTAAGAGCTCTTTCACTGAGCTACATATGTATCCCCTGAATAGACATCTTAACCATATCAAGTCTTCCATTTGGGCCTTTAAATTATTTACTTATTTCATTATGTTGCTGGGGATCAAACTCAGGGCCTTGCACATGTTAAGCACATGCTTTACCACTGAATTACACCCCTCACCCTTGTGTCTTTAATGTCTTTCAGTAACATTTATAGTTTTCAGTATACAAGTCTTTCACCTCCAGTTCTTAGGTGCTGCCTTTAATACAGACAGGACTAAAAACATCTGCTTTGGGACTCAGCCTGAGTCATGTCCAAGTGCAACCACCTATGCCAGTTGCTTCATCTCAGTCATCCTTATTGAGGTTACAATTTCTTTTCCTGATAATTATGCCCACTTGGTAAATTTGTTGATGAAGGTTTAAATGAGATATATGTGCAAAGTACCCAGCCCAGCATCTAGAAAATTACATACTGTATAAATGCTTACTGCTGTTATTCCCCTTTCTCAGTCTTTGCTTTTATTTATTTTATTATTTTTTTTATTTTAGTTTTTAGATGGACACATATCTTTATTTTTTTATTTTATTTTTATGTGGTGTTGAGGATTGAACCCAGCGCCTCGCGCATGCCAGGCTACCGCTTGAGCCAATCCCCAGCCCTTTACTTTTATTTTTGTTTTTCTCTCACACTGGGCTGTTGCTGTCCTGTTTCAAGACTATAGAGGAAATGCTGTAGTAACCAGTATGTGGTTTTTACCTCGAGAGAGTCTCAGAGATGTTTGAGCAGTGGCTTCTTTCCAGTGCTTCCTGCTTGTCAGCTGTGGACTCACACACCCTTTATCGTTTTTTTTTTTAGACAGGGTCTTACTAAATTTCCCATTTTGGCTTCAAACTTGCCATCTTTCTACCTCAGCCATCCAAATAACTGGAATTACAGACCTGTAAGACCATGCTCAGCTTACTCTTTATTCTCTGTTCCCCTTTGTACTTGAATGCAGTCTAGGACCAGAAGCAGCTTTTAGCCCTCTAGGTCTTCCCCCACCCAACTCTCAACTTTGCTGCTGAACTCCAGCTTCTGAAGTAACTGTTCTTTTGTTCTTCTCTTGCTTAGGGATGACTAGTGAGAAAGACACCAGTTGCTGGAGCCTTGGTTGTCTTGTTCAGGCTGCAAAAGCACTTTGGCATTGAGATTGAGGTCTAGGAGAAGACCATCTCCCCAGTCTTCACTAGCTAGAGCCTGTGTTCCAGCTTGCCAGGGTTCTCTAGTGATTCTTCCCTTCTCAACTGGTGTCCTTGAGAGTAAAGTAGAAATACTGTGGAACTGTGTTAGAAAAGACAATGTTCTTGTTGCATTAGCCTTGGTGAACTCATTTCACTTCTCTGAGTTGCAGTTTTTCCATCTGTAAAATAAGAATAATAATTCATGAGTTTTATCTGAAGATAGTGGCATACACTTAAATTCTAGCTACTTGTGAGGCTGAGGCAGGAGAATTGCCAGTTATAAAATCCAGCCTGGGTAACATAGTGAGACACCATCTAAAAAAAAAAAAAAAGTCATTTATTTTGACCCCAGCAGATGATGATGATGATGATGATGATTAGGAACTAAAAACTTTGAAACAAGCTGTATGCAGTGGTACACACCTGTAATCCCAGTGACTTAGAAGGCCAGAGCAGGAAGACTACGAGTTTGAGGCCAGCTTCAGCAACGTAGCAAGGCCCATTTTGTGCCAGCTTCAGCAACGTAGCAAGGCCCAATTTCAAAATAAAAAATAAAAATGGCTGAGGATGTATCTCAATGGTAGAGTGCCTCTGGGTTTAATCCCCAGAACCATAAGAGGGAAAAAGCAAACAAAAACAAAAAACTTGAAGCTGGTAGTGTTTTTTTTTTTTTTTTTTTTTTTTTTT